AATTTCTCCTTAGTTCTAAGTTGCTTCTCTCCTTGATTAGTTTCCATCCATTGCTTCTTGTCCTGCCTTTACTACCTTTTATTTGTGGGAACCCCTGAGATATTGGAACACTGCTATCATGTCACCGCTAGTCCTTCTTTTCATTAAATTAAACATTCCCAATGAACAAGGCCCTCTTTTGAGAAACCAATATGATATCAAATAAATTTGAAAGCAGATAAGAGGGTCGGTTAAACTGGCCTCTACTGCAATGAGTTGAAGCCTCCAATCTGTAATTGCAAAAAAAAGGGGGGGGGATTTTTTAACCTCTGAAATAGCTTTTTGCAAGATGAGAAAATCAAACATTAAACTGAAATAAATGTAAGTCATGCACAGTTCTTTGTGGCAACCCCTGAGATATTGGAACACTGCTATCATGTCTCCCCTAGTCCTTTTTCTAGTTAAACTAGACATACCCAGTTCCTGCAACCATTCTTTATATATTTTAGTCTCCAGTCCCCTAATCATCTTTGTTGCTTTTCTCTGCACTCTTTCTAGAGTCTCCACATCTTTTCTACATCATGGCGACTAACCTGATCTTGGTATCAGGTTGTGAATGGAGGGCATTGCAGTTCTCCAACTCTGGAGAACATCATGTGGGTGAGCTGTGCCTACCTTAGTAACTTCAATATCAAGGTGTCCTCACCTGGTTTCTTGTAGGTGACATACGCCAAGCTCAAAATGATGATCCCAACCACAATGAGGGCTGCCCACCAAGTCAGTAGGAACATGATGACCACAGAGACAATGGCTCCAAAAAGTGCGGTCCATTTGCTGAAGTAGCGGAAGGAAGGCCTCCAGCCTGGAAGGGGCAAAAGGAAGATGGGAATCTCATTTTATCATCTCCAGAGCCTTCCCACCAGTTTAATCTAAAGCTTTAGCCATGCAAAAGATTTAATGTTTTTTAATGTTGGCCATGCAAGGCCGGAAATTTAGAGAGTTTCTGTTTTGGGGTTATGTATAATAGAAGTATATATTAATCATGAAATCTACTATTACATACAGCATACATCATCACTTAAAGGTAAAGGTTCCCCTCTCACATATGTATTAGTTGTTCCCGACTCTAGGGGGCGTTGCTCATCTCCGTTTCAAAGCTGAAGAGCCAACGCTGTCCAGAGACGCCTCCGTGGTCATGTGGCCAGCATGACTAAACGCCAAAGGCGCACAGAACAATGTTACCTTCCCATCAAAGGTGGTTCCTATGTTTCTACTTGCATTTTTACGTGCTTTCGAAAAGCAGAAGCTGGGACAAGTAATGGGAGCTCGCTCCATTATGCGGTGCTACGGATTCAAACCACCAAACTGTTGACCTTTCTGATCGACAAGCTCAGTATCTTAGCCACTGAGCCACATCATCACATAAGCTAGTATTATAGACTGCATACATGACTATACAGTATATATATATGGGCATATATAATACACAATACACAGTATTTATGTTCTTAATATGTAACGTATTACAACTTGCAATGTTATTACCTTTTTTAGATTTCTCTACAATGACCACTAATTTTCATACAGGACGTATGTGTGCGTGTATAAGTTTTCTTGCCACATTCACTAAGTGAATCACTGCAGTGGTTAAATTAGTAACGCCGTTGTTAAATGAATCTGGTTTCCCCACTGACTTTACTTTTCAGAAGGTGGCAAGAGATGATTCCATGACTGTGACTGTCATAAAACTGTGAGTCAATTGCCAAGCATCCAAATGAAAATTGCGTGGCCATGGGGGATGCAGCGACGGTCGTAAGTGTGAAGCCTGGTCCTGAGTCACTTTTTCAGTGCCTTGGTAACTTCGAATGGTCACCAAGCGAACTGTTGTAAGTCAAGGACTATCTGTATGGCTATCATGTCCTTCCTGGTCCTTCTTTTCTCTAGACCAGCCAAACTCAAATCCTGCAGCCGTCCTTCGTATGGTTTTTTTTTTTTTTTTTTTTGTCTCCAGGCCTTAGTTGCTCTTCTTGGCACTTTCCACCAAAGTTTCAAAGTACCCGTCCAGTGGTGAGTTTCAAAAATTGTTCGAACCTACTCTGTGGGTGTGGCCTCCTTTGTGGGAGTGGCTTGCCACCCATGTGACCGGATNCCCCCCAAGGAGACTGCAACTGTCATAAAAAAACGAGTCATTTGCCAAACATCTGAGTTTTGATCACTGAACCGTGGGGATGCTGCTATGGTTGTATGGGTGAAAAATGGTCATATGAAATTCAGCAGGCTCTGACAGGTTCTGGAGAACCGGTACTGGAAATTTTGAGTAGTTTGGAGAACCAGCAAATGCCACTTCTGGCTGGCCTCAGAGTGGGGAGGGAATGGGGATTTTGCAGTATCTTTCCCCTGCAGTGGGATGGGAATGGAGATTTTACAGCATCCTTCCCCTGCAGTGGGGTGGAGGTTTTGCAGTATCCTTCCCCTGCAATGGGATGGGAATGGAGATTTTACAGCATCCTTCCCCTGCAGTAGGGTGGGAATGGAGATTTTGCAGTATCCTTCCCCCAGAGTGGGGAGGGAATGGAGATTTTGCAGTATCCTTCCCCTGCCATGCCCACCAAGCCACTCCCACAGAACCAGTAGTAAAAAAAATTGAATTTCACTACTGGTCATAACTCATTTTTCCCAGTGCTGTTGTCCTGGTGAGTTGAAGAAGCTTCTTGGATGAGAAGCGACATGTCTTCGAAGAAAAACCAGGAAGTTCAGTTGCCTCTTGAGAAAAGCACCTTTGGGACAACCACAATTCAAAGCACCTTTGTAGCCCTTACTCCCTCTGTGGGATGAACCCAAGAGCCAAGGACACATTCTTCCACTTCGACACTTACCGGAAATTCTTGACATGGTCTTCCACATTGTTCAGGTTCATGGCATTTGAAAGAGCCATGTTGTAGGTCCCGGCTTGCACTGAGGAGCCCCAGTTTACCTCTGTGAAGAAAAAGGGTTGAGAAGAGAAAAATGAGATATTCTGTCAGTCATTTCCTACTAGAAACAGAAATAGAATAACAGAATGGAAAGGGCCTTGGAGGTCTTCTAGTCCAACCCCCTGCTTAGGCAGGAAACCCTACACCACTTTAGACAAATCATTGTCCAATCTCTTCTTAAAGACTTCCAGTGTTGGGGCATTCACAACTTCTGGAGGCAAGTTGTCCCATTGATTAATTATTCCGACTGTCAGGAAATTTCTTCTTAGTTCTAGGTTGCTTCTCTCCTTGATTAGTTTCCACCCATTG